TATATATATAATTGATTCGTACTTTTTCGAGGCAAAACGAGCCGAACAAGAACGAACAAAGATTGTTCGTGTTGTTCGTGTTCGGCTTGTTAAATTAGCGAACGAGCCGAATACGAGCATGTTAACGAGTCGAACACGAGCTGTTCGTGAACAACGAGCTGTTTTTACAGCCTTACTCCTTAATAAAAAGACGGAGTTATGTTTGATTAAGAGGATCGTCTCTTTCATTAGCCCTGACTTCACATCGAATAAAATTCAGTAAATATGACTCAAAATAAAATAAAATATAAATCATATGTCTTATTCATTTTAGATTAGACGCAAAGCTAACATTATTTTAAGCTCGAATTGCAAGACTATAGAAATATATTTTTGAGTCGATTCAAATCATAGTTGAGCATGTTAGGTCAAGTTGAAATGTAATTGTAAGCAAGCTTTTGATTTTATGCTTGGCATGTTTAAAGCTCTACTAATAGGATCACCTTACAATTAGGAAAAAAATTGGCTCATAATGATGTGATGTATTATATACACTCTAGAGGCATTCTTGTAAATAAAATGTAATGCACCAATCATATTAGATATGCGAGAACTTCTTAAATTATTTAAATTTTCTTAAAATTCAAAATAAATTACTTTATTATACACATTATGATCTCAACTATGGTGACCTTTGTTCACTTTCAAAGATATACGAAAGAAATTTTTTCTTATTTGTGATGAAAAACCTTAAGAGCTCAAGAAACCTAAACTATCACAAGCATAATGAATTCATTACTGTCTGCAAGGTCTGCACTGAGTTTTAAGTAGAGTTAAGGTGTGTTTGTGGTGGCTAGTGCTTTTTGAATAAGCAGCTGTGAAACTGCATCTTGGGAAAGTAGCTTCACAATTGATGTCCGAATGTTGACGTTGGAATAACAGTGAGATTCTTTGGATAATCTGTTGTGTTGCAACTATTTTTGGTGAAAAATATAGTTATGTCATAGATGTAAATTAGCTGAATAGCTGTAGTTTTCAAATTAGTTATAGCAGAATAAGAAAAATAGCTCCCACAATACAAAAAAAAAAAAAAACATATCGAGAGTACGAATTTCTCCAATACATCAATTATAGCTCATCATTTTATGCATAATATTACAAAAATAAAGATAAAAAATAATCACTAATATTATAATGATGTTCGCCTTTATGTATAAAATCAAGTCTTCGAGATATATTTTTTTATTCAAAATATATCTCTTGACTTGTTCACTATCTGGAGTAGACTCCTCTCAGTTATTAGCCCATAAAAAAATTAGGGATCATAACCAGAAAAAAAAATTAGATCTAAGGAAAAAAATTCATCTCTAAAGTTATAACTTTAAAATTTTAAATATCAAAACATGAAAGAAAAAATAGACATCAATCAATC